CAGATCCCTGAGAGATGCCTCACGTGGGGGACCTGGAGGAGAAACCGTTGGTTGAGACAAAGTGGAGATGGTGGGAGAGATAGGATTGGAATCAGGCAAGGGCGGATCCGTGAAGGATGAGCTGAGAGGAGAGGCGGTGGAGAAGGACAGAATGGTCGACAGTGTCGAAGGCAGGAGAGGTCGAGGAGGACAAGGAGGCAAAGAGCCCTGGTCGCAGATGGACTTTGACCAGGACTTCTCAAAGCAATCAACATATTTGGCTGGCTAACCCAAGCTGGGGTGAGGAAACTGAGCAGGATAAGGGTGGGGGGAGGGGGAGGGGGAGGGGGAGGAGAAAGATGACTCAAAGTGCTGTCCAAGAGGCAAGTCTTAAAGACAGGCTTTAAAAATGGGACGGTGGGTTGGAGGTTCTCCAGGATGGAGTTCCAGAGAGCAGGGGCAGAATATTTGAAAGCTCGCTCACTGTTGATGGGGTAGAGCGAAAGGGGATACGAAACTTTTCAGTTCATTTCTCCCCTTGCCCTGTTCGACCTGCATCCTCCAGCAATCTCTTGCCACTCCCCCCACGTGTGTGGGGTTGCAAGATTGTTGGAGGATACAGCAAGGTGAAGGAAGACATTAACTGAAAGGAAAGATGTTTCCTGGAACATTTTTTGCACAAAAAAGTAAAATGGGAGTGAGGGGGAGAGGGGAAAGAATGCTAGAAACAAATGTTTCAGGGAAAGTAACATTAACCTATCCATCTCAAAGTTTAAGTATATAGGAAACATGAGTTTTAATTAGGAACAGGGTGGTCCTTTGAGCTGTTGCTGGAAGGTCCACATCAGCCCATGGACACTATCATTTGGCAACAAACATTGCTACAATTGGAACACCTGAAACTTTATCAAAAAGTTTGCAAACCAGGCTGATGAAATTAGAAATTAGTTTTAAAAATACTACCCAATTCCTAAGTATCCCAAGTATTAAGCGCTCTGGGACGCCACCCGGTGTGGAGGCACTATCCAAATGCAAGCTGTTGTTGCATAGTGCTCACCAATTTTATTTATCATATTTTCATGATTCGCAACTACATTTCTGTGGGATGCTTTTGACACCTGTCACTTTAAACCTTTGAGGAACAGCAGGAAACTTGACACTTATATCTGCACTCACTTTTAGGAAGAAATGAATTTAAACACACAATATCAGGCATTTTACTGCAAAAATGTATTGCAGATTTTATGACAAACAACTTCACATTTACATAGCGCGTTTAACATCTTTACACAAAGAGTGTACAGAGCAGACTGGGAGCCTGCGCCAGAAGTAGTGAAAAACGAGAATGATGGGATGGGTGGAAGAAGATAACCAAAAAGCATGGTTGAAAAGGTCTGAAGGTAGGCTTCAAAGGTGTGGCTTGAAGGGGTAATGCAGGAAGACTCCAGGATGAAGTTCCAAAGACCAGGGGCAGCATAACTGGAAGCAATGTGTACCCCAAAGTTCTTCCAGAAGGATCAGTAATAAGTGCTTTGGATTTAGTTCCTCAATTATAGACATCTTCACCTCAGCCTCAGGTGATGAAAGAAATGGAAGGGGAATAAAAAATGTAGACTTAAAGCAAACGCACAAGACAGCCTTAAAATATATCAAAGTATTCTTTGAAACGTTGGTTTGAAGACAGATAGAAGTTATGAACCAATACTTCTCTTAATACATATTTAGTATAGCACATTTCACATCAAGATAACATCTCAAAGTTGACAAGATTTACTGTATAGTGACTATATGTGGAGTCCTGTAGCTCAGTGGTTAGAGCACTCGCTTTGCAAGTGAAAGACCTGAGTTCATTTCCAGGCAGGTCAGGGTGAAACCTTGGGCAAGTTTCCTTACTCCACACGCCTAATAATAATCCCTCCAAAAACCAAAAACAATAATTAAAATTGGTCATTTTCAATCTACGACTGTTTGTGGACATTGCTGTGCGCAATTGGCTGCCGCGTTCGCCCACAAATATACAGTCAATTCACTTTACAGTGTCTTCTGTGAAGCGCTTTGGGGCGTCCTCCCGACGTGAAAAGCGCTATATCAAATGCAAGGATTATTATTATTATTATTATATATTTTGTAAGTAAATAACAACCATAAATTACATTTGTATAGTGCCTTTCACATCAGGAGGAAGTCCCAAGGCACTGGACAGTGCAATGCAGCCAATTCACGCATAGCAATACCCCACAAACAGCCGTGAAGTAAATGACCAATTTATTTGGGGAATATTGACCAAAACACCAGGAGAAACTCTATGTCCATCTGAAAAGGCAGATCCTAGGTTTATCTTATCCAAAACTGTCATCCCCAATAATGTAGCAATCCCCCAGAACTGAAATGGAATGTCAGCCTTGACTGACAACCGTCTGATTCAGAGGTGAGTGCTACCAACTAGGCCAGGCTGACTTTAATAGTCTTTTACATTGGTTAGTCCACATTTCAATAAACTAAAAGCTACAAAATCATATTTAGAAAGAAAGGCACATTATAATCACCATGATTGTTTTCCAAACTAAGAGTGGAACACAGTCAACTGCTATTGTTGTATTTACCTATACAATGTCTGTGTCCCTCCAATACCAATGATATACACAATATACATGCAAGATTTTCTCATGTTATTTCCCTATGCCACAATACAGTAGGAAAAAGGTAAGGTACATAGTGGAGCTACACATATACATGGAGCATTGGCAGAGAGGTGAAATGTCAGGTAGGGCCAGGGAAGGGGAGAAGATATATGCAGACCATTGAGATATGCAGACCAAGAAAGGGTGCTACGAGACCCAGTGAGAACTCAGTGAGAAAACCAGGAATGAGCGCAACTCACACACAGAAAACACAAAAACCCCAAGGAGAACTTAGGGGTGCCAACTTCAGAAGTGTCATCTTAATATGAACATAAGAACTGCTAGATGAAAAAAGACCAAGTTCCATCTAGTTTGCCTTCCACCTTCCTGGCAGTCGCATGCACATATGTCCCAAACTACCTTTGTACTATATCCCATAATGTTATTTCCTAAAACTATCTAATCTGGGTTTGTGAAAAGGCATTATATTAATGCAATGTGTTGTCATAGGCACCATCATGTGACACAGCCCTGGGAGGAGGCAGGAAGCCCTCAGGTTGGCTGTGTCCTGCAATGGGTACTTCTACAGGATTTTGAACATGGAGAAGGGGAAATTTACAACAGAACTTGCATAACGGTGTGAAGCAGAAGGTAGCTGTAGAGCCTGTTATGGGCTGAACCGAAGTTCCAAGTTGGGATAGTACTCATGTGATGTTGCCTAGTCCCTTTAACTGGGGGGTGCAGGAATCTTAGTAGTGCCATGTATTGGGTATCTGCTGCTGAGGTCCCAGAAATGGTTAGTGCCAGGGAATGGGATCCGGGGGGGAATTGTATTATAACAATAATAATCCTTGCATTTGATATAGCACCTTATCATTGGGAAGTCTCAAAGTTCTTCACAGTATATATTGTGAAGTGGAGCAACTGTGTATTTTGTGGGTGAAACACGGCAGCCAATTGCAGACAGCAGTATCCCACAAACAGTCGTGGATTGAGAGACAATATTTTTTATTTGGAGGGACAATTACCCCTGGAAAGCAATCGGTCAATTGATTAACAACTGGGTTCCTGCTTACTGCTAGGTAAACAGAGGCATGTGGAATAAGAATACTTGCCTAAGGTTTCACCCCACCCGGGAATTAAATACGTGTCCTCTCACTTGCAAGGCAAGCGCTCTAACCACTACGCTACAGGACTCCACTGTAGCTAGTGTTAGGGAACTTGGGGTTGCCAGGTTTGAAAGTGTCATTCTAACGTGAAATAAATGCAATTTGTTGTTGTCATGGGTTCCATCGTCTGCATGCACGTCTATCTGCTAGGACCCATCGCATGAGCCCTCTGTGTTGGTCTTGGTAGTCTGGTTCCTGAGCCAGGAGTTCTGCTGTACTCCTTACTAATGACAGCACAGCCAACCTGGCTCATTGGCAGGGCTTGAAAGGGCAGACCAGTCACTGGGTCAGGGAATGCTCCCACTCAGCTCCTGTTACGCCTGCAAGCCAAAACCCTAACGGGTAGAGTGGTCTAGCTGGACAAGCAGCAGGCAAGCTTGCCAGACACCAATATCAAGGGCAAGCTATGTGGTTTTAGCAGGTTAGACTCCAGTAGTACCCCCAACACACACACTCTGGGGTCCCCAAGCCTTGGCTCTTGCCAACCTGCGCCTAATGCCTTCCGGAATTAGATAAGCAGGATGCGTCCCTCCGGGGAGAGAGTCCATTCCAACATCTTTATCTGGGATTTCCACGTGTAGGTGGGACGCATGGGAATCTCAGCTTAGTTTGGACACTCTTAAAACATGGTGATGGGTTTCCCGCATGTGTCAAGACACCTGTGCGGACACCCCCTCGCCCCCACCCAAAAAAAATTGAAATGTAACCATATAATGCAACTCGATATAAATGCAAATTGTTGTTGTAATGGGGTGTTGGTGCCGAGGGTCTGGGGTAGTGCTGGGCAGGTAGGGTGAGAGAGTGAGTGAGTGAGTGAGAGAGTGAGGAGGAGAGGAAGCAGGTGTTCCCCCACGGCCCAGGCTCTCACTCACTCACTCACTCACTGACTGACTGACTGCCCGCGGCTCATGGCTCTCCATTGAATCAGGCTCAAGACATCATGGCTGCAGCCCCGCTCGCGTCCTGCCAGCCCGGCCCACATTCAGGGGGGGAGGGTGGGGGGGTCTCCCTTTCCCTTCTGCTCCCCTCCGCTCCCACGGCCTCCGATACACCCACCCACCCACCCAGGCCCCTCACCTCCGCTCGCTCCCCTCCTCCTTTGGGAAAGCTGTGTGAGTGTAGGTGAGAGAGTAGGCGGGAGGGAGGGAGCGGGGTGGAGGGAGGGGGGGGGGAGGGAGCGGTGTGTGGGGCGGGGGGGGGGTGTTATGCGGCCCCCGGGGCCGGTTCCTACCTGTGTCCAGGGAGAGACCCCCAGATACAGCTCCTACATCGGCAAACACTAAAGAGAAATGACACCGGCCCCCGCGGGGGGAGGGAGCAGAGAGAGGGAGGGAGGCGGACTGCACCACCCGCCCCTCCTCACGCACTCCTCCCCACCGCCCCGCCGCCGCCGCACCCGTCGCTCGGCTCATGGCGGCTCCGAGCCGGCAGCCCCTTCCTCACTCCCCTTCCCTGTCGACGGGCGACCGTGTCATCGGCTTTTGGCCCCGGCACCGGCCGCGCCTCTCCCGCCCCCCCCTCCCCCACCCCCGCCCGCTCGCGGCTTTGCGGCCGAATGGTGCAGTCCGCGCGCCGACGCCGACGACCGTTTTTTTTCAATCAACCCTCGAGCGAGCGAGCGAGCGTGCGAGCGCCCGCCCGCCCGCGCGCCCCGGCCTCTGCCACGCATGTGCGTCAATAAACCGGCGCCGATTCCGCCGCCCGCCACTCGCCACCAGCGCCACCTGCAGGCCCGGAGGGCAATAACAGCCAACACGCAACATAATAATAATAATCCTTCGCGTTTGATATAGCGCTTTTCACGTCGGGAGGACGTCCCAAAGCGCTTCACTGTAAATTGAATTGACTGTATATTTGTGGGCGAACGCGGCAGCCAATTGCGCACAGCAATGTCCCACAAACAGTCGTGGATTGAAAATGACCAATTTATTATTGTTTTTGGTTTTTTTGGAGGGACTATTATTAGGCTCTGTGTGGAGTAAGGAAACTTGCCCAAGGTTTCACCCTCTGCCTGGAATTGAACTCAGGTCTCTCGCTTGCAAAGCGACTGCTCTAACCACTGAGCCACAGGACTCCACATAGAGCACCAGCAAATAACGCACAACAGACAATAGTAATAATCCTTGCATTTGACATAGCACCTTAGTCATGTCTTTTGGGGCTCAAAACCCTTCACAGAATATACTGTTAAGTGAATTGACTGTATATTTTGTGGGCGAAACGCGGCAGTCAATTGCGAACAGCAGTGTCCCACAAACAGTCATGGATTGAGCGACCAAAATTTTTTGTTTTTGAAAGGATTATTAAACCCGGAAAAGTGATCCACAATAGCGATCAATACACAATCAAACGCCAGCAAATAACACACAACATACAATAATAACCAACAACCAACACATAAACAATAACCAACTAACACACAACAACAAAAAGATTACATTTGTAGAGCACCTTTCACTTCGGGAGGATGTCCCAAGGCGTTGGACAGTGTACAGCATTTCAGACCCGAGCTGGGGTCGGGGGAGAAGGGAGGGGAGGGGGGGTGGCCGATGGCATGGTTGAACAGAATAGTTTTGAGGTGGGACTTGAAGGAGGCTAAGGAGGGGCGAGGCAGAGTAATTGGGGGATAGAATTCCAGAGGTTGGGGGCAGAATACAACAAATTACAACAAAATGTAATTACAATGTAATGACAACAAAATGTAATCGTGTTGTTGTTGTTTGTAGGTGAGGACCAGGATCTTGAACTGGATCCTCTGAAGGATAGGGAGCCAATGGAGTAGAGCGAGAATGGGGCAGATGGGGTCATGGAGTTTGGTGCGGGAGAGGACACGGGCTGCAGAGTTCTGGATTATCTGCAGCCTGTGGAGGAAGGAGTTGGGAAGGCCGACAAGCAGGGTGTTTGCATAGTCAAGCCTGGAGGTGATGAAGGCATGAACAAGAGTTTCAGCGGCCTGAGGGGTGAGGTAGTGGCGGAGTTGGGCGATGTTACAGAGGGGAGGGAAGGCAGAGGGTCATGGCTTGGATGTGGGGAAAAAAAGACAGTTGAGGGTCGAACAAGACACCTAGGTTCCTGACTGGCTGGTGAGTTGAAGTGTGCAACCATGGAGGTTGATGTTGCCAGAGCCTGAGGTGCTGAGGCGATGGCGTGAGCCAATCAGTAGGGTCTCAGTATTGTTCACATTCAACTGTAGGAAATTTGCCCTCATCCAGGACTTGATGTCTGACAGGCAGTCTGTCAGGACAGCAGTGGTCCTAGAGTTGAGGGTGGAGGCAGAAAGATAGAGTTGGGTGTCATCCGCATACATATGCAAGTTGACCCTGTGTCTGTGGATGATGTCACCAAGGGGGAGCATGTAGATATTAAAAAGGAGAGGGCCAAGGACAGAGCCCTGGGGGACGCCAGACGTGACAATGTGGGGACTGGAGGAGAAACCATTAGAGGCAACAAAGTGGAGATGGTGAGAGAGAGAGGAATCAAACCAGGCAAGGGCAGGTCCGCAAAGATTAAGTAACGAATAACACAATAACAAAACAAGGACATCCCAAGGTGCTGGAAACTTAGTTTCGGACCCGATGCAAAGAAGGCACGAGACAACTGAGCGGAGGGAGTGTGAAGGTTGGTAGAGGATTAGGAGGTCGCAGAGATAGGGGGGAACAACGCCATGGAGGACTTTGAAGGTGAGGACCAGGATCTTGAAGTGTATCCTCTGTATGAAGGGAAGCCAGTGGAGTCAGGCGAGGATGGGGACGATAGGGTCACAGAGCCTGGTGCAGGAGAGGACACGGGCTGCAGAGTTCTGGATGATCTGCAGCCTGTGGAGAGAGGAGTTGGGGAGGCTGACAAGCAGGGAGTTTGCATAGTCGAGGCTGGATATTATGAATGAGTATATGAGGGTTTCGGCGGCCTACGGTGTGAGACAGTGGCGGAGCCAGGCAATGTTGCAGAGGTGTGGGAAGGCAGAGCGGGTCATGGCACAGATGTGGGGTAGAAAGGATAGTTGAGGGTCAAACAAGACCCCAAGGTTCCGGACTGGCTTAGTAAGGTGGAATATGCATCCCATGGATAGTGATGCTGTCAGCGCCAATCGGAAGGGCCTCGTCTTGTTGACGTTCAACTGAAGAAAGTTAGCTCTCATCCAGGACTTGATGTCCGACAGACATTCTATCAGGACAGCGGTGGTTCTGGAGTCAAGAATGGAAGCAGAGAGGCACAGTTGGGTGTCATCCAATACATGCAACAAACAAAAACACAAACAAAACTTATAACACAACAAATGGGTTTGCAGGGTTATGGGGAGAAAGCTGGTGATTGGGGTTAGTGAAAGTGACTTGTTCTGTCAAAGAGCCGGCACAGACTCGATGGGCCGAATGGCCTCCTTCTGTGCCGTAACATTCTATGAATTCTATGAAAAATAATAACACCCAACAAAAACTTGCATTTATACAGCGCCCTCACCCAGGGGAGTGTCCCAGAGTGCTTAAACAGCAACAAATTATAACCAACACACCAACAAATAGCACACAATAACAATAATCCATAACAAACAATAACAACTAACATATAACCTATAAAAAGCAGCAAAGTTTTAGATCAGCTAAACCTTGCAGGTGGTGGAACTTGAGAGATCAACAATGAATGCATTTGATAAGTCCAAGGTGGGAGGCGATCAAAGTGTGGATAATAATAATCATAATAATAATAATCCTTGCATTTGATATAGCGCTTTTCACTTAGTCTAGATGTCTCAAAGCGCTTCACAAAATATGCTGTAAAGTGAATTGACCACATATTTGTGGGCGAAACGGATGAGGGTTTCGGCAAAATTTGCAGTGAGGTTGGAGCAGAGGTGAGCAATATGGCAGAGGCAAAGGAAAGTAGTCTTGGTCAGGGACCAAATGTAAGAAGGGCAGTTGAGGATCAAACTGCTAAGTTTTCCACTTGTTTGATGGGTTTTAGGGATAGTCCAACGAGATTAGAGTTGGAAGTGAGGAGACAAGATTATAGGATGATGGCTTCAGTGTTGTCCCTGTTGAACTGCAGAAAGTTGGAGCTCATTTAGACCTTCATGCCTGATAGGCAGGCAGACAGAACATCAGTAAATCTGGATTGCAAACAGAACGAAAATAACCATGTCTGTGGATTGTATCACTAAGACAAAGCATGTAGATGAGGAAAAGGAGGGAGGCAATAGTGACTATGTGAGGGTGGGAGGAAAACCTTTGGTGAAGATGAAGTGGAGGTGATGGGTCAAGTAGGATTGGAACCAGGAGTGTGCAGTCCCTCAGAGGGAAAAGAAACGGTCGAGGAGGATGGAATGGTCTAAAGCATCAAAAGCAGCGGAGAAGTCAACAATAATTTTACATAAGGAGAACATTCTAAAGCACTTTACAATGATTGAATGGGAACCCAAGCTGGGAGTAAGTTAGATATGCGATTGCTGAAATTGATCAAACATGGATTTTTAAGACGGGATTTGCTGGACAGAACATCTCTAAGTGCTTTGCAGGATATAGTGTAAAGTGTTGTGACTGTAATGTGTTGTAGGCAAACACGTACAAAGCCTTATATTTAATCAGTGTATATTCAGAATGACACAGATCTCTGGTCATAATCGTAACTATTTCAATACCATTCAAAGCGCACCGCCAAGTGGCAGCAATCATGCACTACAACAGTTGGAGAAAAAAAAGATTCGGTGGTCAACGAATCAGTGGTCAACGAAACCGAGTCCGAAAGAGGAAAAGTTTAAAAAGCAGCATCTCTACTTCACTTTATTTAGAACCAATGAGATATTGGAACTTATTTATATTTTTCTTCTCTTGTGGTTTCTCAAATTGGGAGATTTTATTTGGGTTAATTTAAAAATATATATTTTGTCTGTGCCGCTGCTACAGTGCAGCCGCATTATAACGACTGCAGTTTCATTACAGTAAGAGTTCACTTACAGCATGGGTGCACTGTGGACCTTGTTCATTGAGCATGTGCGCAACTGGCCAACTCACTAACTCAATAACCCTGAAGTCAGACACCATCAGTACTCTAAATCAAAGGCAAAATACTGCAGATGCTGGAAATCTGAAATAGAAATCACTGGGGACACGCAGCAGGTCAGGCAGCATCTATGGAGAGAGTAAAGCAAGTTAACGTTTAAGGTCAATGACCTTTCATCAGGTGCTGCTTGACTTGCTGTGTGTTCCCTGCGACCATCAGCACTCTGATATCGCTCAAGAGTCACATTTTTATCCATGTATGACTTGGGCCCTGAGTGCATAAGCTGTTCAACAGAGGAACATCACATCATAGCTCGATCTTGCTGAAGTCCAACATTTCGTAGCCTCAATACAGTCCTAAGTTAAAGATCATGCAGAATTTTCGTTGATTCTTAAATTGAGACTTAATTTCTAAACAATTATTCCCACAATTTTTTTAAAAAAAATTTCAGCATGCTGTTGTCCACAAATACTTTCCAGCAGGGATTGCTAAACTGTGGATAAGAATCAGGAAAATTTCAATAATTTATACTTATGTAATTGAACAGATCAGGAAATAGTCAGGGTCAGATCAATTTCACAGAATTTTCAAGACACAAGCACTTCCCTATTACCGTTTGCATTACAGTTTTCACCTTTAATTTAAGAAACAAATGAAAACCAGACAAGATTTTTATGTTAATTTTTATTATTTTAAACAACTATGTTGAATGTCATTTTTTTGCATAAGAATGAAATTAATTTTGTGGGAAAAGGGGAGAAAAGAAAAAACACAATCAAAAGTATGAAATGTCACCTTCTGTAGGTAATCGGAAGATTATAAAATATACAGGCAATTTATTAATATAGAACATGTTCACAGAAGTGATTCCCATGACTGTCCATCACCACATCTTGTTCCCACTGAGCATAAGCAGCAAATACCACATTCACAGAAATGACATCATAAACCTGTACAAACCAAGAAGTCTAAAACAGAAATATCAGATATCAGGAACTAGGTGGGAATTAAAGGTTGTAATTTGATAGAGGGATTCAGAGTAGACAACCATAACAATGCTTTGAGTCTTTAATGTCACCCACTGCTATCTTTAAGCCTGTTCATTACATAAATTATACAGCTTACATTTATATAGTGCCTATCTACTTTTATTCAACTTCCTAAATTTGATTACAAGATTCATATTGATAGGAAGGAAGCATGAGCGGTTTAAGGGATATATTTGGAGATTCCAATTGCAAATTGTCATTAATCTTTAAAGGAAATACTTTTGATGTGGGAAAGTTCAGTCATGCTACTGGTAAATAGGTTCTAGTCCTTATAGGAGCCTGGCACAGTTCATATTATGGCCGGGCAGGTGGGGGTGGGAGGATGGTGGTAAAAGAAACGCGTAGTAATAAAATTAGCTTATAGTCTAGGCTGAGCAGAGGGGTCCCTGCATTCTTGGTGCTGCATCTTTTGGGTGAGACGTTGAAAAGATTGTTTGAGTGGATTATAGAATCTCATGACAAATCAAAATGAGAATGAGGTTTGTCCCAGCATCCTGGTCCAAATCTTCCAAATTGATTGGTCATTCATCTCTTACTGGTGCAAAATAGTTACCTTTGGTGGTAAACGCAAACACAACACCTGCCAGCAATTACTTGGAAAGCATTGAAATATTGACTTGATAAGGCACTATAAAAATGCAAGTTCTTTCTTTCATGTCTGAGGGCAGGCCAGCTTTCCTCTTCATCTATTGCAGCCAGTGACTCCTAATCAAGAGCGAATACTGGTGGGTTGTTCATCCACTTGGGATGTGACAGCTGAGGCTGGTGCTATGAGCTTTCCCTTCTTAGCTCAGAGAATTGTAGCAGACCCACCACCACCTCCCAACTCATATCAGCAAACTCACCACAGATGAAATATGTTACTTTTCTGGTCTGCATGGCTCAACACCACAACAAAGTACATTTACCCCCAAGTCATGGGGGTGAGGAAATCTCAGGAGTTTATTTTACCTAAAAATAGCATCCTTGGGGAAAACACCATACATTGTAAAAGAACAGGTTGATAGTGGATGAAGAGGGCATCGAATAAAGGACTAATAAACCGTACTTGGGTAGAAACAGTGAGAGAAGCAAGGTCAGACACAGCAGGGAAGTACAATGTACTGCTTAAAATAGATTGACTCTCGTTGTAGGAATACATTTGGTTGAAACAATCTCAATCTCATACATTCTGTTACTGCCTAAACCCAAACAGACCTATGCACAACTTCACACATATAGGTCTTGCTTTCAGCACCGTGCGATATACATACACAAATTACATCAAAATCTGCACCAAGCTTCCAGAGGGTTAGGCTTTTTGTACCAGATGAAAGTACCACATCCATATCTTCACAAGCTGGTTAGCATTGGGCGATTTAGAGGTAGTCTCGGACTACCAATTACACTGTAAATGCACAATGTTCAGTATTTAATCAAAGAATTTCTTAACTCACGTACTTAAATCAATTACTTGATGCAAAACTCAGGATACAAATTCTTAATAGGTATCTTGTTGAGCAGAGGGCAGACCATAGAATTCTGCCTTAGCACAGTTAAGAAAGATCTAAATGGAATGGATCAAAATCCACTGAAGAACTGCAACATTTCTACAATATTTAAAACCGGAGGAACATCTCACAACGAAAATTTACCTCACAGCAGAGCAAGAAATTCCCATATGTGGAGTCCTCACTACAGCTGTAAAAAGAAAGCTTGAATGATACTCAGAGAATATTTTCTAAAAGTGTACTGTCAATTATTAAGAAATAAAATGTGTACATTTAAGTGTCCTATTGTATAAAACTAAGATTTGCTTTTACTGTTTATCTAATTAATCTCTATATTTTCCAATAGTGCAACACTCAAAAGAAATTACATATGTGTGACTAAGCAATGTACAAGTTTGACTCATCACAGTGGCAAATTAATCACAGACAACAAAAATATTAATCCAACTGCCTATGACATTGAAAATTGATAAATTAATTGAAAAATGGCAATTGCTGAAAGCAAATCTTTTACAAGTATAAGGTTTTGAGGAGTTGAACACAAACTACATTCGGGTCACATCAAGTCAATTAGCTAGTCATTACAATTTATTGTCTTTTTTCTTTTTTTAAAAAAAATTAAGAAATAAAAGTAAATCTAGTTAAAAGAAATGATCCTGCAGGAATTCCACCTCAAATTGGACACTGGGATACTGCTGATCTGCTCAGGCAATGATTTCACATTATTTTGCTTTTTAAAAAAAATGGTATTTACAGAAAAATGAAAATTTTCCTAGAATGTTGTGCATTGTGGAGCCTATATTCAAACGATGGATGGGAAAATAGAAGCATTAATGAGTCATAATCTTTGTACAAAAAAAATCCATGCTCGTCTGAAAAAGGGTCTCACAGTGCTTGGTTGTTGATATTCAAACTCTCTGCATTTTTAATCCTAGTTTTAGCTTACTATGTAATAATTGAACAATCCTGATGACAGTCAGTAGACTGTTTGCATGCAATTGAACCTGAAGTTTCAATCAATGGGTGTAATTCTTGATATTCCAAAAAACAGAGTTTTGTCTGTAATATGGCTAACTGTAAATCCATGTAGCATTTAGGCACTGGAGATTGAAGTAAAGCAGTGGAAAATAAAAAGAGTGCAGGTCAGAATTTACAAAATGCTGCTCAAAATTATCACAGCGCACAGAACTGCTAAAGGCTACATCCCGACAAAGCAATTTGAGTGCTGTGCATAATAATAATTAGTGAATAACAACCAACCATAGCAAAGTCAAGGAGAGTTGCTAATCCATTTTTTTTAAAAGAAGCTTAGTTAAAGATAACCTGTTTTTGTTTAATTCATCCTTCAATATCTTTTGAAAATAAATAGTAAGATGATCACTATTTTGTATACTTTAAAGGGGAAAGCATGTTCATAGTATTTAACCGTTTGAAGTCTACAATTGCCTCTACATCATTAATAATAGCCTTCTCAATGCTTTTGGTTTATTCAGAGCATACTCTGAATAAATACATAGTTATTTACAGGTTCTCAACATTTACAAAGAGGTTGTGTAAGGGTCACAAACAAAAAAAGTAATTTGGAAAACTGCTTAGGATATTCAGTGTTAAATTCCTATACAGATCAGCACTCTTTTGCAAGAAGTTCACCAACCGTGTGTTCAAATTCAAATAATATCTTTGGAGGTTTTAAAAGGTTGTGCCCTGAAAATGTTTCCATCTAGCTTCTAGCCCTAAATTCTGCTGCTAGGAATATATGCCATATAGAGACAGATTATCAATAAGTAGAAGAAAAAAATGCAAATGCTGGAAAGTTGAAATTAAAATAAAACCAGAAAATCTCACAAACTCACAGCAGATCAATCAGCATGGAAAGAAAAGGTTAATATTTTAAATCTGACTATTAGAAAGCCACACATTCTGACACTGATTGACCTGTTGTGCATTTATCATAATTTTCTGTTAGTTTGTAAATAAGCCTCAGTCCCGTATTTTAACAGTCAGTTCTTTTCAAATTGCAACTTATGGCATTTAATTTCATTCATAAATAGTGGTAATACAAAGACTACCTCTATGCTTTACATTATAAAGAGAAGCTAATAACCCATAACACATTTTATGTTAAACACTTAAGTAATAAAAAATGTCAGAACATCACTGTATCCTTCAAAATGTATCAGGCTTTTTATATAGTAAAGAATTAAAGACAAGATACCATCTACAGGTGAAATGAAAATAATTTACAAAACAATATGACGAAACAGCCTTTCATTCAAAATATATTTCATATTAGAAGCTTCTTCAAGTATGACAACAAAAAAGTGACATTGGAAAAACAAAAGTTAATGGGAAGCAATACATTATGGTTTGTGTTCCAGTTTAAAACTGCATTTTGGGGAGAGAAAGGGATACTAAAGGGCCCACACTGAAGGCTAGTCAATGACCCTGGCAAATACACAAAAGTCATTCTAAAGGCCATTTGGTTCAACTTAACTAAAATTAATTGAACACCTTTTCTAATGAGGCAATTAATATTCTAAATTTTCCTTTATTTTTGGAATGCTTCATTAAACGCAATTTGTTGCTGTGAAGGGCATGGCAAAAATATGCCATAAGCTTTTTCATACCCTGCCATATTACCATAGCGCACTAAATTTAGTACAATAAATTTGAGAATGTTGATTAAAAATGGATCCCTTTGCTATTATTGCACATAGATTTCCGTTTTTTAAATCTCCACGCATGCATCAATGTTTATTTATTGCACAACATAGGAGGGCTTCAAACCTTCTCACAAGGTATATCCTCACAGTAAACAAATAATAAAAGATGGTTATCTAGGTGAAACTACAACATATTCCTAAATGCTGCATTAATACTGGCTAATAAACCAAATTGGGCCAATTGCAAGGACTTAACCAGCTATCAGCATGCGCCCAGATGTACACTAGTAGAAATGCAGTATAGGAAGTAGTCTTCAGTGCCTGCAGGCCATTCTCCATTAAAGTTCAAAGTTCAAAGATTGACTGTTCAAAGTGCTTTTGGACTCAGTAGTATTTTTTCCTCTACTAGAATCAAGAATCTGAAGCATCAACATGTATCATCTGTGGAAACAGAGAACAGATCCAAGTCAGTAATTACTGTGTTGGGATAAAATAGGGGTTAAATTGCAAGATTTGTCAACAATGAATCAGTAACTCCATGTGTGTCCCAAGCTCCACCATCGTTTTTGTGCTTCATTTTCCTTTTCAATTTCCTGTTGATGCATTCCAGAGTATTTTTATTTCATATTTTCCCACTGCACTTAGGTATGTTCAGTCCTGTAGTTCAGTGGTTAGAGCACTCGCTTTGCAAGTGAGAGACCTGAGTTCAATTCCAGGCAGGGCGAAACCTTGGGCAAGTTTCCTTACTCCACACACCTAATAATAATCCCTCCAAAACCAAAAACAATAATAAATTGTTCATTTTCAATCTACGACTGTTTGTAGGACATTGCTGTGCGCAATTGGCCGCCGCGTTCACCCACAAATATACAGTCAATTCACTTTACAGCATATTCTGTGGAGCGCTTTGGGATGTCTAGAAGACGTGAAAAGCGCTATATCAAATGCAAGGATTATTATTATTATAACAGTTCTCTGGGTCAAATGTCTCAAGCCTGGATTTAACAAACATGAATGAACTGCCAACTTCAGGTCGCCAATGGCCTCAGTTTGTACATGTTTTGCTCTGTGTAGTAGCTTATCAACGCCCCATCTGACAAATGGCTGCCTTTTGATTTGTCATTTCAAAGTTACATCAATTGCACATTTTGCAAGCATCATGCATCTAGGAATAGGCATTAATGGCAAACTGACAACCCAGACGTTGGCCTTTTTAGGGCAGTGGAGTGTGGTGGTCTGTACCCTGAAGCCAATTGCAGGTCCACAGAGCCTAGCCTAAGTGAACCCTCCTTATAATGGGGTGCCTTTAATTTGGTTGCTACGAATGTGTCACAAGATGCTTTTGAAGGTTGTCTATTTATCCAACAGATTTATCCTCGAGTAAGTCCATCCTCCCTTCCCCAGCTCCTAGTCTGTATAATTAATAGCCTCTGTAGTTGCATCACTTTAAATATTTGATTTTGCCAAGAGTAGTTCTAACCTGGATTGATTAAAATTACGAGTGTTTTTTTTTGAAGGGACAAGTTTAATATGGCTCAACTAGGTTTTATAAATGCATCAGTTTAAAACTGAATTTCCTCATTAGGTTTAGTGAAATTGTGCAAACGGATCCTTGTAAAATCCATAGGATTAAGATGTCTGAAAATGGGAGTGACAAGTCGTATATTTTGATAAAACATCAAATCAATTCCCTGTAAAGTGCTTCAATTGTAGTGACCACCTGTAAGCAAAATTGGCAGGCATCTTGCAAATAGCAATTTCCCACAACTGAATACACCAATTTATCCTGAGAATTGTGGTCCAAGAATTTAACTTTAAATTTAGAGGGCATCAAATCTGCACAGAAGTGCAGTTTATACACCAAGGTAAATAGCAAGTCAAGAAATTAGCATTTCAGATTCATAGGAAGACAATTACGTTTTCAATGTCATGATCATGTAAACTGTTGGCGACAACAGTTGAAGGTAGGCTAATTCAAAGCATCCCTTGCAAAGTAATTCTCTATACCCCCTTTATAAACTCCAGGAAAGGACCAAATCAGGATTATTATCATTTCATATTCAGGTTGTAAGACAAAAATACATTGGTAAGCAATGCATGCAAGTGGATTACAAGGCAGAAATTCAATCAAAACAAAAACAAATTGCATTCATATAGCATATTTCACATTGGGATGACATCCCAAGATGCTGGATTCAAGAGGATATAAAAAATTAACACCTTCCAATTATATCAATGGAGAGAAGAAAAAACAAGATTACTGCAAAAGACTACCTACCTTGTGCAGTCTTCATAGTTAACTGACAGGGCACCCTCCATAAAATACTGGGTTTCGTCCCCAATAGGAACAAAGTACAGAGAAACCATCGTGAGTGGAATCATTATATCATCATGATATAGGTTTTAGTTTGGTGAGTTTGTTCAACAAATACCATTACTCAACCAGGTTCAGTTGGAGAGATTGCATGGACAGTATCGCCAACTAAAATATAAAGATGAATTTTGCCATCAAACAATGTTAGTGTTCAGCAGAGATTAGTCACCTAGTTTTAGGAGACACTGGTGCTTGAAGGAATAAGGAAGTGGTGGGGAGCAGGAAGACTTCAGAGATGTCCAAAAGAAGGCACTTATAAATGTACTATCCTGCTCTGAATCTATCAAATATTCCATTGTTAATAAATATTTACGAACAGAACATGTTGAACACCCATTGGTAATTATCCGAACCTCTCGACAGAGAGTTCAGCAAATAGGTATAAATAAGGATAGTCATGCAAGCACAGCAATGTCAGAAGAGCTGCAATAATGGAAAGAGCAAAGGTGAGTATTAAATGTGATCCTGGAAATTAAATCTCAGGATACTGCAACAATTAGCCCAAATGGCAAATGAGCCCTCAAAATACACACAGCAACATTACTTTGCAGTATATCCAGTAAAGCACTTTGAGATATCTTGGTGACTTGATGAGACACTACTTCAAAGAGAGCATTTTTTATTATTATTGTAAAAAATAATGTCCTTTAGGTCTACAGTGGTCAGCAAATTTCATGAACCCTGCGCTAATAACCTGTGTAATTGTTATCATCTTAGTCTACTCAGCTGTACCGATACTGATTGAACATTCAGGAATGGAACTCTTCTTCCCGAGCCTTTTGGTAAAATGGTATTGGAAGCATTTTCCAGCTGCTTTAAGCAAGAAAGTTATTTCATCTTCCTATATCTTTTAGCAAGAAATCTCCGAACTTAACTTCAGCAATAATGCTACATAATTGGAGAAAGAGTGAAAACAGGGGATTCTTTGCTTATGGACAGGTCCTTCAAAAAGCTTTGACAGCACTAATCAGAGCCTAAAGCTGGGAAATACTCTAAGAAACCGTATCTGATGGTAGTTTTCTTCTCATTCGTTTGGATTTTCAGATTGAAGCCTAACTGCATCAAAAAGTCTAGTCACTTAGGTACAACAACAACTTGCAATTATATAGCTGTTTCCACTGGTGGGTGTGTCGGTGACTCGAGGTCACAGATTCAAAATAGTATCTAAAAGAAGCAGAGGGGAGGTGAGAAGAAATTTTTTCACGCAGCGAGTTGTTCAAATCTGGAACGCATTGCCTGAAAGGATGGTCGAGGACTTTTAAAAACGCGGTGGACGGGTATTTGAGGAGGATGGGTTTGCAGGGTTATGGGGAAAGGGCTGGGGAGTGGGATTGACATTACATTGCTCTTCTCAAAGAGCCGGCACAGACTTGATGGGCCGAATGGCCTCTTTTTGTGCTGTATCTATGATAACGCCTTGCATGCAGGGTAGCATTTCTGAGCACTTAACAGTGGCGGTGCCTGACTCTGAGTCGGTGGGGAAGGTGACTGTAAGCATGGTCGAAAAGGAAGGTTTTCAGGCGGGACTTGAAAAAGGGGAGAGAATATTCCAGAGTTTCAGGGCATAGTTGCTGAAAGCGCGAGGCCCAATAGTGCAACGGAGATAGAGCAGAATCAGGGTGCTAGGCAAGGTTAGGTTCCTACATTACCACACAAAGTCACAGTCAGAGATCAATGATCGTAAGCAAAGAGAAAGCCCACTGAAGGTGCTTCAGATGGTCCAACTCACACCTGTACAACTGCAAACACAACTGATGTGCAAATTGCCCTTCTCTTTTTAATCAACAGCTGTACTCAGATTTTGCCAAATAGTGAAGAAAGATTGTCTAGAACTGTGGCAAAAAAGGGAAGTCAATCATTCTCAATCTGAATCCAATGAGGCAGTATCCGATTCAGTGCTGAATTGCGTTAATGTACCTTTCTGCTTGGTCCTTTGCTGCATCAAGTGCATAGAATTCTTCTGATGTCCTGATAATGAAGCAGTTTTGGCTCCTGCTCCCCCCCCCACACCAACCTAACACGGTCGGATGATTTGTTCAAAGCTTCAATAGAGCAGGATCCGCTCAAGCCAACTGTGCCACTCTACAGTGCACATTGGCAACCAGTCGAGGTTAAGATTTTGCACATGATCAGTGCCAGTCTTTTAACTTGCCAAATCACACAAAAGTGGACAGAAACGTTTGTAAGAAGTTAACCAGAAGAGATCAATCACGGGAGTCAGTGATGCTCCAGACTGGATTGCAATGGACGCAGTGTTTGTCAGTATAGAATGATATCATAAAACGTGCTATGGTTGGTTCCAAATATAGTTCAAATCTAAAACTCGAAGATCCTAATAACTGTTACTGAACCAGTACATGAGAAATATGACTAAAAATCACATTTACATGTGCATCTTTATAAATATGTGGGATCAACCAAGAAAAGTGATGAACGATCCTGAAGTACAAACCAAGAAAACTATCCCAATCACAGGAAAAATTCTAGCACAAGGCAGATATATAAGTTTTCCTGGCAATGTAAACTAAAACAAAGGATGGTGGTGTGTTTACAGTGTATGTGAGTGTCCAACATCATTAGATCAGTTTTAAAGGTAAGTTGCCCTTTGTTACTTTCACATTTTCTTCCCAACGGCGCCGAAACCCAGTGGTATAATGAAGGGTGTCTGAAATAAAGAAGAATGTCTAAATGGCATCACAAGATCTTGCAGTAGATTAACAAGTTAATTGATATTAATTATTGTACACTGTCATACTGAATATTCCTTTGTGCACATTGCTCCCATGTTTTTTTAACCTCCATTTTGTCTGCTGTGTCTATGCCAGGCAATGTGCTCTTTAAGAGAAGGGGCAAGTCACCTGCTTCCAGAGTTTTTCTCTGCTACTCCCTGGCTAGTTTTTTTCCTTCATGGTCAACAAAACAAAGCTGCTGAAATTGGAATGCCAGCAGTTTTAGGTCAGAATCTATATTCAACTGTGGGATAAGGAATTCATATTCCAGTGTTCTTTCCCACTGCACCATCTTTTTTTTTTTGAGCAGGTGAGGGTTGAAGAAAGAAGGGAGACTTTTGTGGTTATTAAGCGATGTGAATTTGAGAAATGCAATAGTTTCTCCATTTTAGATATCTGTTAACCTGCAGAATAATGCTATCCTCCTCCCTGCTCCCAACAATGTGTCAGGTCAAAATAAAGTAAAATACCTAAATGGCATTCTTGATACCACCGAGAAAATAAAAATAATGCTTGTATCTGATATTGTGTCTTTCATGTTTGGAGGAACATCACAAAGCACTTCACAGGATTTACTGTAAAGTACAACGACTTCTCTTGCCGGCGATTCTACTCATTGTGAGTTTCAAACAGCATTATTTGTATTCGTTCAAAGATTTAATAATACAACTGAATATTCCAGTTCGTTTTATATATGATCAACAGAAGACAATTGAATTTTGCACCTAAAATTTTCTGAAAAATAAATTATGGTTTTGATCTTTGATGGAAATTCACCAGTATTTCTGGAACAATACAGTCAACTCTTCAAGTTCCCACACTTACCATGGTACCACCATTTTGTTTTCTTTGGATTCTTATTACACGTCCTTACATAAAATGAATTATCAGGAGGCCGCCTCTGTAATATAGGAAAAAAAGTCACTGGAATGCATCTATTATTACAATCTGTTATATGATAAGATAGCTTATTCCTCAGAATTGGAGTGACATTGCTTGCTTTTTATATACATAAATACTGTATTACATCTCATAAGAAAGAGGATTATGACTTTTGGATATAATAACACTTATATTTGGTACAGTGCCTTTCATGTCAGGAGGACGTCCCAAAGCACTTTACAGGAAATACTGTGAAGTGCAATTACTGTATGTTTTATCAATGAATATGGCAGCCAGTTTGTGCACAGTAATGCCCCACAGCCATAAAGTGAATGACCAATTTTAGGGGTTATTGGTCAGGACATCGGCAGAAATTCCCTTCTATTTTCAAATACCATGGGAATACCCACCTGAACAGGCAGATGGGGTGTTGGTTTAATGTCTCATAAGAAGGATGGCACCTCCAACAAAACAGCACATACTCAGCACTGCATTGGAATATCATCTTAGACTATACGAGTTCCAGTGGATCTTGACTCTGAGGAAAAAGTGCTCCCAACTGGGCCAGACTGGATACGGATTTATTGAAGCAGATTTTTAAAAATACATTATTCGTATTAGTTAACAAGGAAGAATTCTAAAATGAATGAAACCTTGCAACCTTCAACCATAAACTTCAAAACTAATTTAGTAAGATTGACAAGGTGAACAAGTCATTGTTCCAATTACAACTGGAACTCAGGTTTAACTGGATGTAAATACTTACCAAAGCACTTTCTGTATTAAGAGAATTAAAAAAAACACTCTTAACAACCTGATGCATGGCTCAAAGTGGAGGTAGATAACATTCAATACTTATTGATCCAAACCATAAAAAGCCTAGCAGTACAATAGTAAAGCAATAAAATGGTTACTGATCCTGGTGGAGAGTAACAATAGAAATTGTTTCAGCAGTGCTTCAAAAATGAAAATGTCAGTGTCATCAAATGTTTGCAGTACAGAAATCTTGTAGATTTGCTTTTACAGCTTCCAGCACAAGTTACAAGCTTTGCAGGGTGGAAATTTTATCAATGTTCCTTCAAAATCCTCATGTTTACTGAGGTGCAAGTTTCAGCCTGACATCATTATATTGAAGAGAATCATTGATATCCTGCCCTTAGGTCTGCATTACAATTCGTACATACAGTTCCAATCACCACGATAATGGGAGACTGTTAATGCCCTAGAAGGCAGTGGAGAGAACAAGAATGATTCCCAGCATTTAGAGGGGTGAACTATGAGGAATAACAGCATATAATAAGCTTGAGCTCTTTTACCATGACAAGAAGATATCTAAGAGGGGAATTTTTAAGATAATAAATGTGATGGAAAAATAAACCCAAAGCAATACTTTGAGTTAATCCAAGTCAGCAAGACAAAAAGTTACAGATTCAGGATTATGAAGTACAATTTTAAGAAAGACACTAAGAAGCATTTCTGCACTCCCTGAGATTCTGCAAGGAGTTTATAAAAAAAATTACAAAAAAGGGGCAGTTAACTAGATTCATTCTATAGTTTTCAACTACGCAAAGTACACCTGAAGCAGTTCAATGCAATACTAGGGAAGCACTGCATTGGTGGAGGTATGGTCCTTCAGACAAGGTATTCAGGAGAATATTAAAAGATCCTGTGACACAATTTTAAAATAGGTATTTTTGCCAACATTATGACTAATACAAGCCTAAGAAGCTTGCTACAAAAAGTAAAGCTAAACATCTATGAAGTAGTATTTGATAAGTCTACTTCAATTTGCCTTTTCACTAGGTGCACTGACGTTTCAAATACTTGTGTAATGTGGACCTCACCCAATTGCCTCTGGCAAAGAAATGAATTAGACAATATTAATTTTCGCCATGTAGGGTTTAAAGGACAGTTGAGGATCGAAGAAAGACACCAAGGTTCCATACTGGCTCGGTGAGGCGGAGAGCCCATCCATGAAAACAAAAATCTCAAGTCCAAATCTACTAAACTCGAACGATTAGAACAAATCTAAAAGGAAGTTATTTAAACCGTCAATGTGACATTTGGGAACGAAATTTAGTTTCAAATTGCAAAATAATACTTTAGATAAACCATGGACTTAATCATATTCAGAAAACACTAAATGAGATTGGCTAATCTCAGTCCTGTTAGAAATTGCTTACTAAACGATGTCAATTGTATCTAGTCTTTTGCTATTAAGGAGGTCAGTGAGGAACAGAACAATCACTGATACCTGCTGGCAATAAAGAACGGAATGCAGCTCGGTTGAGTGCCCAATAAAATTCCTTTTATAGCTAAATTTAGCACACGTATAATAATGAAGCAAATGCAAACTGCAGTTTTTGTGTTGTAATTTGTTAAATTATCATTCTTTACTTTACAGAAGTAAAGTGCAGCCAGGAAATGGTCCACATTGCCAGGCCGTCGAGCATCACCCTGATCATTCGCACAGGTCTAGGTAAGCCCATGTTCGCTTGGTAGTGTGTTTTCAGTTTTTCCTTGATTGAATATTTCTTGATTTATGGATAAATCAAGAAATACTCATTCAATCAAGACTTTTTTTTGGCTGACCATAGAGGCTGACCACCACTGATGGAGAATTCCCTTCAGTCAGTAAATTCCTGTAACCTGCGATATAAATGGATTGGCACCATTATGAGCATGCTTGTCACATTCAAACATAGACTTGGCAAATCAAGGTAGACAATCAATCTTCAGGAATTTTGGGGGGCCAGCCAGCCAGGTATCTGACACACTCAGAAAGGGCTTCACATATCTAAATGGGAGCCTGAACTGGGAGTTGGGGCAGGGAAAAGGGTGGCTTAAAGCACAATCAAAGGTGGGTTTTTGAGGTGGGAAGAAAATGGGGGAGGAGGAGGTCGAGGGACTGCGGGCTAGAATCCCAGAGAGAGGGGAGGGAGCTTCTACAGCTCAAACCGGACCCCAAGTTCAAATCAATTAAATGCCATGTGGTTTGCGTCAACATCTTCTCTCCTGTGGGTCTGAACTCCTCAACCTCCCTGGGCTCTCCCTCAGACTCACCGAAACCATGTGCAACTTAGGCATCGGGTTTGATCCCCAGCTTTCCTTTTTATCCCACATCCATTCCTTGACTAGCACCACTTTTTTCGACCTCCATCACATTGCCCGCCTCCGTCGTACCTCACAGCAAAAGCAACCAAAACACTCGTCCACGCCTTCTTCACTCCCTGGCTGGACTATTCCAATGTCCTCCTCACTGGTCTCCCCAGCTCCAACATACACAAAATTCAACTAATTCAGAACTCCGCTGTCTGGATTCTCACCCGCATAAAACTCTGCACCCCCATCACACAGGTCCTTGCTTGGCTCCAATGGCTCCCAATCACTGGACGGATCAATTTTAAGATCCTCTCACTCGTTATCAAATCCCTTCATGCTCTCGCACCCCCCTACATATCTGATTTGCTTGTCCACCTCCTTCTTACCCTGGCTTGGGGTCAGACTCAGCCACTGTCAAGCTCTGCGGGACGCTACCCCGAGTGAAGGGAGCGATATAAATGCTGCTGTTATCATTACATGTAGCAATGTTCAGGGGACATGACTTTTTTTATATACAAGATTCAAAACTGCAGTAGCTTTTTTGCACATTGAAATCTATTTTGGCCCAGTGGAAATGAAATTTCAGATGATTGTTGTTCAGCAAAAAAAAACATCAGAATAAACTGATGCTCGAGAAAGTGCTTTTTTTAAAAAAAGGTAAGTAGAATCAAAAAGTGTATTTTAGATTCCCTGTTATATAAAAGAATAATGACCTAAGCAGAGCGAGACACTTGAAAATCTGAACCCCAAATGTATGAGTTTCACAATTTCTGTAGTTCCACATTAGCTTTCATTCAGTTTGAGGTCATTATCCCTCTCCTTTCCTATGGATCAATTACAGCACACATTGGAACTCAATGACATTGCAGAAGCAGACAAGTAGTGAGGGAAACCAGATTCAAAGATCTCCACACCAGTACGAACATTGACATCAAATGACAATTATCCTCAGGCTAATGTTTTCAAAAAACAGTGGGAAAACAATTGTACTCTCTCTAGATTTTTTCCCTTTTAACTATATTTCATAGATTCACATTAAACCATCATGCTAAATTGTTCCTAAGTAATAAAAGTGTGCTTGTTGTCTCAAAGTGATGAGTGCTGGTTCAGCACTTCCAAATCTATCCAAGTGCTTCAGTGGAGTGGAGACCACTTCCTCCCAATTTTAGGTCACTTTTTATTGAAACTACAGATTCCTGGAGCAAGTGTCTTGAGCTCTTTCACAGAACAGCTGTGCGGCTTTGGGAGCCCAGAGAATTGGTAAGAATTTGTTTGAAGTAAACAGGTGATTCTAAGCATGAATTCTTCATGCTATTTGTTAAGACATTCTCAGATACTTGCAGTTTCCCTAACTGAACATTCTACACTACAAGCTGGTCACCACATCTGCTGCTGAAGGTTAATTCCATTTGATGGTTAACATACTTTTTAAATCGTTTAATTGAATCAGAAGGTGCTACAAATACTTGCAGAAATAAATAAGGCCTTTGTGGTTTCCTTTTCATTAATTCACGGTTCTTTTAGGGATAGTTATTCATAATGCCATAGCCTTTGCCTAAACCACTTTAAACCAATCACAGCTAGAAAGTATACAGTACAGTAACTCAGTATACAGTATACAGTAACTCACTGTTTTCTCTCCCTAACCAAGAGAAAGGCTTTGAAAACAGGTTTGGTTCTCGTGGCAGTACCTAGTTTTATTTTCTGCAATATTTTTCAAATTGCTTTTCTAGTGCATCACACAAATTCATGTTCATATAAAATCTCGAGAGGAATTTCTCTCTTTCGCCTCCCAAGTTTCCTTTTGTTAAAAGAAATCAGGTCAGTGAAGAGCAACATTATTTGGTCAATTGCAGCTTTAAATCTAATCATGGATTACCTTTTCTTTGCAACTGGAAAGCATGCTGATGATGCTAAGACAGACTGATTGCACAGAAAGAGCTGGAGACCAGTCTTCTGTCAGGATGGATAAACAGATGTGTCCATTGCTGTAAACGTGAGGATGAACAGGAACATTATCACCAGTGAACATAACCTAAAAATAAGGGAAACAAGAATCAGTGTTTATGTAGCTATAACACAAATGTAACTAGCACCTTACAGCCCATTACCGTCATTATGGAAGAAACTGAACTCATTGGATTACAAAATTGGAATTAAGAGCAGGGATTGGGGCAATCGAGGCCAGCACTAAAACTCATGACTAATAATAATCCTTGCATTTGATATAGAGCTTTTCACGTCTTCTAGATGTCTCAAAGGGTTTCACAGAATATAATAATAATAATCCTTGCATTTGATATAGCGCTTTTCACGTCGGGAGGACGTCCCAAAGCGCTTCACAGAACACATTGTAAAGTGAATTGACTGTATATTTGTGGGCGAACGTGGCAGCCAATTGCGCACAGCAATGTCCCACAAACAGTCATATGAATTGAGAATGACCAATTTATTATTGTTTTGTTTTCTTGGAGGGATTATTATTAGGCGTGTGGAGTAAGGTTTCGCCCTGCCTGGAATTGAACTCAGGTCTCTCACTTGCAAAGCGAGTGCTCTAACCACTGAGCCACAGGACTCCACAAAATGAATTATACTGTAAAGTGAATTGACTGTATTTTTTGTGGGCAAAACGCGGCAGCCAATTGCGCACAGCAGTGTCCCACAAACAGTCATGGATTGAAGTGATCAACTTATTATTCTTTTTCTTGAGGGATTATTATCAGCAGATCTGCTAACCAGCAGATCTTTCATTTTCTAATTAAATGGCAATGTACCAACTCCAACATTCCCCCCCACCCACAAATTAGGTGACAGATCAGGGTGCAACTATAATGTCTATAAATGATTGTGAATTTCAATTAGTTCCCTCTGGGCTGATGCAATCACAAGGTATTTCTACTCTGAAATTATTAGTGGGTACCAAGGAGAAGAAAGCAACAAAACAACTTATTCCAATTCTGTCTATGACCAGGGCTCCCAATGCCTCCTTGAAGTACGCCACTTTTGAGAGGGGGTTGGGACTTTGTACCTAATTCCAGAGATTCTTAGGCACAGGTTGGCTAGAGCCAAAGCTTGAGGACCACAGAGTGTGCATGGGGTACTGCTGGAGTCTGACCAGTTAAAACTGCATTACTTGCCATTGAAAGTACCCTCTGGCAAGCTTTCCCACTGGGTATCCAGCTAGGACCACTTTATCTGTTAGTTCCTGTTAACCCTGCAAACCAACGGGTTGCATGCGAAGAGTCCCTGCCCCCAGTGGCTAGTCTGCCTTTCCAAGGCCTGCCAATGAACTAGGCTTACTGGGCTATCATCAGCAGTGGCGCCTGATGTACTGTGGACATGCGAGGGTTGGCTCAATTCTGACATTCCGTTGCCAAACATGTCCCATAGGTAGTGGTTAGCACGGTCACTTTGCAAGCAAGAGGACCAAGGTTCAATTCCTGGGTGGGGTGAAACCTTAGGCAAGTTTCCTTACTCCACACACTTCCTACCCCCTCTGTCCTCCCTCATCCCAACCCTGGCCCCCAAGCTCAGGTCCTGATCCCTAACTGTTCAGCGCCTTGGGACGTCCTCCAGATGTTAAAGGCGCTTTACAAATGTAATTGTGTTGTTGTTGTTTACCTAGCAGTAAATAGGAACTCAGTTATTAGTTGATTGGTGGATTGCTTTCAGAGGGTTTCACCCACAAAATACAGTCAATCCATTTTACAATAATAATTCATAAGCATTTTGATGTAGCTCAGTGGTTAGAGCACTCCGAAAGCGCTTTACGAGAACCTGAGTGAATTCCAGGCAGGTAGGGCGAACCGGGCAGCCTTACTCCACACGCCAATAATAATCCCTCAAAGAAAAAACAATAATAATTGGTCATTTTCAATCTACGACTGTTTGTGGGACATTGCTGTGCGCAATTGGCTGCCCGGTTCGCCCTCAAATGACAGTCAATTCACTTGCAAAGCGAGTGCTCTAACCACTGAGCTACAGGACTCCACAATATATTCCATGAAGCACTTTTGAGACATCTCAACAACGTGAAGACGCTATCAAATGCAAGGATTATTATTATTGTCACCCTGGAGGCAGGTCAGTTTCAAGGCGACCCCACTTACCTCCTCCACACCCCTCCAAAAGAGGATAGCTGCTGTTAACGTCTGCCTTAATCTTCCCCCTTTGACTGTACTTTCAGTCATCTTTCCCATTCCATCCCAACAGTTTGGCTGCCAAACAAGCATGTATAAAGCGTTTTGAGACTTCTTCCCAAAGTGAAAGTCACAAGATAAATCTAAATTGTATATCCTGCAAGTGTAACTGTCACTGCTGCTTACAGCATGACTACTTACCTAAATCAATATCCTGTAAAGCAATGCCTGAAACCCCACTCCAAGTTGGAAAACAGCAGGCTTAGCAGGAATCCAAGAATGGCACTTTGGCAGTTGTGGGTGTTACTATTATTCAAAACGTCAAACAGCAGCGTACGGGGAGGAAGGGGAAAACAAAACTAATTTCAAAACTAACTATAGGCTACAAAAAATTCAATTTTGAAGTGTCAAAATCTGCTGGATGATTTGGCATCTCAAGTATTTTCTATAATTTCCAGATACAGTGTTGAGTGATCACCAATCAAATAAAGCAACTTGCAGGAACCAATCAGCTTTAAGGACATGACATACATTATTCCAAGCAAGAAATGTGCTGCATCACCAGTCATAGCTTAGTGTATTCCAGAGGTTACATTCTCCTGTCATAGTATCTGTAGAGGATCAAGACAATCTACATATTGTACACACAATGCCCTTTTCAGTAACTGACTCAGAAATGTAATAGTTGAGCCAAAGAAACTCAATTTAAATCAGGTCTAAATCTGACTATGGGCTATTGCAGTGGGTGGGGGGGGGGGGGGGGGGGGGGGAGGGAGGAGGAGGAGAGGGAGTGTTTTTAATCAAACAATAAGCAAGGATATTCATTTGAGCCAATTTTTCACTACTATAAAATAAGTCCAGTAGTCAAAGTCACTAACTTATTAGAAAGTTTATAAAACAGTCACCAGTTCATCGAGCATAAGGTGAAGTATTGCTGACTGGTCGTCTACCATCTCAGCCTCATTACAAGATAGGTTGGGATTATATGGACCCATAACCACCACATTATAACGAGGCTCAATGTATTGAAAAAGGTAATGGGCCAAATGGTCCCTGTGTTTAAAAAATCCTATGACTCTATGGCAGACACCAAGACCAACTCTGTTCTCTTCAAGCTAGCGCTGTAACAACATGGTTTATTCACTAGATGGCGATTTTAGATATTGCATTTTAATCTATATAATTATTTAGCTATTCAAATGGTGGTAGTTGTTGAGAATGGTTATCTGAGCAATACTGAATTGTAAGGATCATCAGAAAACTGGATTATGGCAAGTCATGAATAACATCACATTGGGTTAATGCATTCACGCTACCATCTGATTTTCCACTCTGATTCCAGGTTCAATGATGTCCTGTCCACCAATCAACCATCAAAGCCTGGATAAGCTGCAATTTCTTGCAGCTTAACAAGGACAAGACAGAAACGAGTCTCCTCGGTTCCTGGCAATGTCTCCTTGCTTCAAGATCTCCTCAACCTTTCTCAAACCCATCAAACAAGTGTGATGCTTTGGCATTCAATTCAATCCTCAGCTCTCCTACCATCACCAGATTTGGTCCCTGACCAAGACTGCTTTTTTCATCTTCTCCACATTATCTGCCACTGCCCGCTTCTTGTATCAAATGCCACTGAAATCCCCATTCATTCATGTTAACACCCAGCTAGACTTCTCAAATGCACTCTTTGCCAACCTTCTTAATTCTACCATCCATAACCTCCATGAATTTATCATAAAAAATAATCAGCTAACCACTTGCACTCATTGTGACCCAGTTTATAAACTTTACATCAACTTTGACCAACTTTCTGTTATGCAAATAAAACCTTGCAGATACTGTGATCACCAGGCTCTGGGTGCAAACTTTACCTGAGGTGAATCAAAAGGGTAACGACCGCTGAACTTGAAGAGTAGCTGAAATTTTTCCCCTTCATATAGTGTGCCAGGAGCTCCTTCCATATCTACAATCCACCTGCAAACATAACACAGAAATTAAGCATTCTAGCAGTTTTGTTTATTAACCTATTCATCTCATCTAACCTCAGTTACCATGTCTATCATCTAGAAAGTGATTGGATTATATCAATCTGCAGTTTCAAAGATAAAAAATCTACTTGGATATACACAACCAGCTTTACAGTTTCAGAAATTTTCGGAAGAACCCTAGTTTATGAAGTCGCTCCTGCCTTCTCATCTCTAACTGGGGATCATCATGGTGTAGCTCTGTAGCTTACTGGTTAGAGCACTTGCCTCGCAAGCGAAAGGACCTGGGTTTGATTCCCGGGCAGGGCAAAACATTAGACAAGTTACCTTGTTCGACACGCCTCTGTTTACTAGCAGTAAAAAGGAAGCTGGTTGTTAGTCGATTGGTGGATTGCAGGGGCAATAAGCAACTTCAAAAAAATTTTTAAAAAATAATTTGGACATCCCGAATGTTTGTGGAACACTGCTACATGCAATTGGCTGCCGCATTTTGCCCACAAAGTATACAGTCAATTCACAGTACATTCTGTGAAGCACTTGGAGACGTCTTGAAGATGTGATAAACCACTATATCAAATGTAAGGATTATTATATCATGATTCAAATATATAGGCAATGGGCAGTTGGATAAAATATATAAAGAGCAAGTGTTAAACCATGCCCCAACAGAAAGAAGAGTTAACAGTTGTCGGGAAAGGGGATAAAACACCTCTACTATTTCTAAATCCTCCAATTACAGCTTCCTACTCTCATTTTTCAATGGACTTCAAACATCCTTTCATCCATGCACATTTGAAAAAACCTTACCAAAGATGTTCTCAGCTTCCACATAAATTTTTTTTTAAAGAAATAAACTGCTTTTGCTCATCTTTTTTCCTAGACAGTATTCCTCTAAGGGGAAGTTGCTTCAGTTTGGGATGCTACCTATAAGATCATGTGCTAAGGGGATGAATTGTACTCGATACCCTGCAAAAGCACACCCACACTAAATTTTATCTTGTTATGGATAGCTGCCATTATTCTTTCAGAAAAGGGTAGGGATGAACAGAAAGTTAAATCTTGTACCACTTTCATTAAAGTGAATTTCCTGTGCCAAGATACAATATTCACATATTGCTTTGCTTGATGATCATTGTTTAGGTCCAGTTCCTCCCAAAGACGATTCATCATTAAAATTAGGACAGCGCATTGTACTGAAGCAAAAATAATAGAAAGAGTAACTTGACACTTCAGTTAATTTGAGTTCAAGATATGAACCCCAATTTCTTGGAAAATCTAGTAGCAACCTCTAAGAATGCATTACATTAACAACTATAAATTGATTTGATTTAAAAACCAATTTAGCAGATTAGAAAAATCAATCCCTCTCTCCTCTTTCAAGGCGTGGAGTCCTGTAGCTTAGTGGTTAGAACACTCACTTCGCAAGCGAGAGGACCTGGGTTCGATTCCCGGCAGGGCGAAATGTTGGGCAAGTTTCCTTACTCTACATGTGTCTGTTTACCTAGCACTAAATAGGAACTTGGTTGTTAGTCAATTGGCGGATCGCTTTTCCGGAGGTAATAATCCCTTCAAAAACAAAACATAATTTGGTCGCTCAATCCATGACTGTTTGTGGGACACTGTTGTGCGCAACTGGGTGCCTCATTTCGTCCACAAAATATGCAGTCAATTCACTTTACAGTATATTCTGTGAAGTGCTTTGAGATGTCTCGAAGACATGATAAGACGCTATATCAAATGCAAGGATTATTATTATATGGCATATCTCAAAATAAAATAATAATCCTTGTATTTGATATAGCGCCTTATCATGTTGTTGAGATGTCTCAAAGCGCTTCACAGGATATACTGTAAAGTGTCGTGACAGTGTGCATTTGTGGGCGAAAATATACCTCTTTGACTGTGCATTTTGCTGCCCTTCCACACCCCAACCCTCTCAGCTTCCACCCACAGCTCGAATGCTTATCCGGCACTGTAAAGCGTTTTGAGAAATCCTCTTGACATGAAAGGTTCTATATAAATGTAAATTGTATGTAGAAAAAAAGTGCTGGGATGCTATAAAAATAGCAGCAAGAAGGGGCAGGAGATGGACTTGCCCCAGTAATTCTTTCCCACTCTTGCCGCCCCCAATCACCACCCAACACAAAGCAAAGGAAAGACGAGAAAAAAAGTCAAAAAAGGTCATGTTACAGTCTACTAGCTGTTATGATTAATGGCTTGTCATGCTCTGAGTTACTAATAAAGAAACCTACTCACACACCCAAGTTTTGGAATGAGTACCACTACATTTGTAAATCTTGGTAAATAAATCATGAACAAGCTGATCTAGTGACATTCTACACTGGATACTTGTTAGGGCAGTTTTGAGTATGCTTGGAGAGGAATATGCAACCTGGTCACTTAACTTGCATGCACTTTGCACACATTTAGCATAGATAGATCACAATGCAATGGACAAAAACGATAGGATGACCAAATAAGGGTAAGCACAAGTCTAACTCTGCACGTATATACTGTGGACCTGGGGTACACCGGTTTCCGGCACTGACTGGCTTGCTTCTAAATTTAAAAAAAAGGCCAGCTGCCAAGTTGTCACTCACTCCCGACATCACTTTCAACAAGATATGCACAGAAAGCCCCAATGACACTTTGTGAAGAAAGTGACATCGGCAGTAAACTTACGACTCGGAAGGTGCTTTTTAAAAAAAAGCTTCCTTGTTTCAATACAATTTGACATTTTTATAGCACGTTTCATATCAGGATGACGTCCCAAGGTATTGAACGGTCCAGGGTATGTACCCAGGCTGAGGGTGGAGATCGGGAGGAAAAAGCTGGCCAAAAGAGGAAGTTCTTGAGGTAAACCTTGAAGGAGGTGAGGGAATGGGTGAGTCGAAGGGAATTTGGGATGGAGTTCCAGAAAGTGGGAGCCAACACGGAAACAGTTTATGGTTCCCTTTCCTCCAATGCAATTATCACATGAATCATAACTGTTTTCTCCTGGTAAAAAGCTTGTCAACAAATTACAGTAAGCTCCTGATAACTCATCACTCCAAAGGGAAAGGGCTCAGTGACTAGTTTGTGTGTCAGCCTGATGCAGCGGTAGCACTTTCGCCTCCGAGTCAGAAGGTTGTGGGTCCAAATCCCACGTTGGAACTTGGAATCACATTGTCTAAACTGACACTCCAATGCAGTGCTGGAGTTGTGTTGCAGTGTTGGAAGTGCTGTCCTTTGGATGATACAAAACAATTTGTTTTATTAATTGCCATTTTAAGGATGCAGCAACGATCTCACAGAAACTACAGTTACATGATAGAATCAGTCACACTTAATGTAATCAGCGGAAGCAGAATAATCTGTTCTCCATAGTAATGCACACAAGTAGCAATTACCGTAAGTTCACATCAGAACACTCTTAACAGTCACATGTAGCAATGAGTAGTCTGAGCAACAGCACTGGTGTATGCTAACCGCATGGGCAATGGATATCAACAATTTCTTTAGAAAATTGAGCGGGTCTATGGTATCAAAAAGATTGAGAAGATTGACATAATGTAATCGGAACACTGTTCACAACAATAATAATAATCCTTGCACTTGATATAGCGCTTTATCATGTCTTCGAAGCGTCTCAAAGTGCTTCACAGGATATACTGTAAAGTGACTTTACTATATTTTGTGGGCGAAACAATGATTGTATGTTATGTTCATGTTTTGCATAATTTACTAAAAAAAAGTGTGTGATACATTTAAGAGAAAGCTAAATATACACACCAGGGAAAAAGAAGGGAATAGAAGGGTATGGTAGAGGAGTGTGTGGAGCGTCATGTGGAGTATAAACAGCGGCATAGTCTGGTTGGCCAGTCTATGTACATCCATGATATGGTATGATGACACTTGGTAACTTACTGAAATTTGAACTAGTACGTCAGTCTCAAAACTAGCTTATCATTCCCATACAGCAATCAGTGTCAGTATGGCCGAGTCAGAAAGTCATGTGATGCTGGGGAAGCACAATATCGGATGAGATGTTAAACCAAAGTCCCATCTACCTGTTCAGGTTAACAATCCCATGACACTATACGATAAGGAAGTCATTTCCGGTATCCTGGCTAATAATCCCCCCAGATAAAACTGGTCATTTATTTCATGTCTATTTGTGGGATATTGCTATGTGCAAGTTGGCTGTATATCCCATGAAGTGCTTTGAGACATCCTCCTGACATGAAAGGCACTTTGTCAAATGCAAGGATAATTATTATCATTATGATCCCTTGAAGAGCAACATTCCCAATTTCACTCTCCCATTTAGTAAATTTAGAAAACTTGTATCCTATGCATCGTTATCCAAACTAAATATTTCGATACATCAGGGACTTTACATTTTCCCTCTCTCCACTCTGGGTAATCTTCAAAGTAAATGCAACACAACGTAGTCATAATTTCCTTTTAATTTAGAATTACATGCTCCATATTGGTTACTATATTATTTGTTGACACAGGAACATATAATAATAATCCTTGCTTTTGATACAGTGGTTTATCACGTCTTCGAGACATCTCAAAGCGCTTCACAGGATACACTGTAAAGTGAATTGACTGCATATTTTGTGGACAAAACGCGGCAGCCAATTGCGCACAGCAGTGTTCCACAAACAGTCATGGATTGAGTTACCAAATTATTATGAATTACTATTTCTTTTGAAGAGAATATTACCCCCAGAAATACAATCCGCCAATCGACTAACAACCAGGTTCCTACTTCCTACTCCCTCCCTCCGCCACACCATCAGAGTTTGCGCTTTCCGTAACTATGCCCCAAAACTCTGGAACACTCTCCTTCAATCCCTCCATCCTTCCCCCTCTCTCACCTCCTGCCTGAAAATCTTCCTCTTCGAATGTGCTTACGGCCACCTCCCCCTGGGCTCGGAGGCAGGATCCGCTACTGTTAAGCGCTCTTTGTTACTGCTTGGTAAACAGAGGTGTGTGTGG